GAAGATAAATGGATCAGTGAGTGTGAGACTGAGGGGGAGGAGGAGGAGGAGGAGGAAGCAGCAGCAGCAGCAGCAGCAGCAGCAGCAGCAGCAGCAGCAGCAAGAGGAGGAGGTATACCAGGTATATCTTATGACCCATCAATGGAATCAGGAGAAGCAGCTGCTGCTGCTGATGCTGCTGCTGCTGCTGCTGCTGCTGATGCAGCAGGAGGAGGAGAGGAAGATGATGAATATTATTATTATGGAGATGAAGAAGAAGATTATTATTATGAAGAAGGAGAAGGAGAAGAAGGAGGAGGAGTAGGACTAGAGGAAGAAGGAGAAGAAGGAGGAGGAGGAGGAGGAGGAGGAGGAGGAGGAGAAAAAGAAGGAGGAGAAGGAGGAGAAGGAGGAGAAGAAGGAGAAGAAGAAGGAGGAGGATATTTATATAGGAGAGTACGAGGAATAAAAGACTTAAGTAAGATAGTAAATAGGAATATAATAAGAAGGGAATTAATGAATAAAGAAAAAGAAAAAAAAAAAGAAGCAGAAGAAGAAGGAGAGGAAGAAGGAGAAGAAGAAGAAGAGGAGGAAGAAGAAGAAGAAGAAGAAGAAGAAGACAAAATAAGAGGAGCAAGAAGAAGAGAATTATTAAGAAGAAGAAGAGGATTAGTAGAGAATCCATCAGCAGCAACAGCAACAGCAGCAGCAATAAAATCCTTAGATGAATTAGAGGAAACAGTAGCAGCAGCAGCAGCAACTCTGCTGCTTCCCTTAATGGATATAGGTAATAAAAATGTTATTCTTTGTTTATTATTATCTATAAGTATACAAGAAATAGCATTAATAGGTGTATATGCAACAAAAGAGCTAGAAGAAAAAAGAACAGCAACAGCAGCAAAAATACATTCTTTTGTTGCTGCTGTATTAAGACAATTTAATAGATTAAAAATAAGAGAAAAAACACCATTAATAAAGGCGCAGCAATTGCTGCAAATGTTAGAGTTGGTGCAGCAGCCTGCACCACCAGGTATACATATTAGCAGCAGGGATGCAGATAGCAGCAGCAGCAGCAGCAGCAGCAGCAGCAGCAGACAATTAGATCCTATGTCTGCTGCTCGTGTATACGAGGAAGCATATATAAGTATGTTATGCTTGGAGGGTTTACGTAAGGCATTAGATGAATTAAGAAAGGGTTTAAGGTTTGTAAGTCCTTATTACGAGGAAGCATATATACAGAAATATTTATATGAAGAAAAAGATAGAGAAAAAGATAATAAAAATAAGAATAAATTAGATAGTAATATAGAGGAAGAAGAGGAGAATAATTTAGTTAATAAAGAAAAAGAAAAAGATAATAGAGAACAAGAGGAGAAAGAAGAAGAAGAATTAATAATAAAATATATTGATTATAATAAACCATATATGTATAGATCTAAATACTCTAATCATGTTAATAAAAGAAGAGGATCATGCATGCGTTATATTTGTTCATTTATTCGTCAAGAAAGAAGGAAGTTATTGCATGCAGATTCACGTGTATATCAATGGATACAGCAACAGCAGCAACAAATAAAATATTTTGGTCTTTTTCCTCCTTCTCTCCCCTTCCCTCTTAGACAAAATAATAACTTTTCTTCTTCTTCTTTGTTATTTGAATGTAAGAAATTAAGACATAGAATAAAAACATTAACAAGAAGAATTAGATTAGCACCTATACAAGCAGCAAATAATGCTGCTGCTCATGCTGCACTTGCTGGTATACCACCACCTGCTGCTACTGCTGCTGCTATTGCTAATGCTGCTGCAGCAGAAGCAGCTGCTGCTGCAGCAGAAGCAACAACAACAACAACAACAACAGCAGCAGCAGCAGCAGCAGCAGCAGCAGCAAGAACAGGTGTAAAAAGGTATGAACCTAAACCATACAGTATGCAAAGACATCCACACCCAGTGCAGCAGCAGCAGCAAATGCTGCAGCAGCAAATGCTGCAGCAGCAAATGCTACAGCAGCAAATGCTGCAGCAGCAGCAGCCCCATGCGGGGTGGCCACAGCATCACTACCAATACACGATGCAGCATATGCAGCAACACCCGCAGCAGCAGCATGTCATGGACCAGCAGCACATGCAGCAGCAGCAACAACTTTATATACCGCCACATATGCAGCAACAGCAACAGCAACAACAGCAGCAACAGCAGCATATGCAGCACCAAATGCAGCACGAACATCCAATGCAGCCGTACTACCCGCAGCAGCAGCAGCAGCAGCAGCAGCAGTATCATTACTATTTTCATGACCATTTGCATCACCACCATCATCACATGCAGCAGCAGCAGCAGCAAGACCAGCAGCTGCAGCATCATCATCCTCAACATCATCAGCAGCAGCAGCAGCAACACCAGCATCATCATCATCATCATCATCATCATCAGCAGCAGCAGCAGGAACAGCAGCAGCAGGAACAGCAGCAGCAGCAGCAGCAGCAGCAGCAAGTGGACCGCGAAAAGTTACTGAAGGAGCTGCGGGAACTGGATGAGCTGGAGGCTCGGCTGCAGCGGCAGCTGTACCTAGAGCAGCAGCAGCAGCAGCAGCAGCAGCACCTCGAGCAGCAGCAGCAGCATGCGCATGCAGGTGGTTATTCGCCTACTTATCCCCGCGAGGATCCCCACAGCAGTGATGAGGAGGATCGTGCAGCAGCAACTGCAGCAGCAGCGGCAGCAGCAGCGGCAGCAGCTTCAGGTCTGCCTGGCGCTATTCGCCCTCCTGCTGGTTTTGCTACTGCTTCTCCTGCTTATGCAGCAGCAGCAGCTGCTGCTGCTGCTGCTGCTCCCGATAGAGGCCTAGGAAGAGGAAGCGGTGCTGCAGACACAGCTCCTCGTAG